ACCCACCTGCGTGACTAACATCTACCTAGATTTTATTGGACCAGGTTCCTAGAGGAGGCATGTAGGCCTTGTCACTCATTCTTAAGGTCTAGCCTTCAATGGATGCTCCCCCAGCCACAGCTGTATTTGTTCTCATCCTCTACACCAACTCCCTTGAGAGCCAAGCCTTGTCTGCTTGCCTATACTATTTCTAACTAAGCTGTCTATAACAGGAGGATCACCAAGAGCCAGCCTGAACTACACAGTACAACCCTGTCTTAACAATAAAACCAATTCGACTCCCACCATCCAAAACACATAAAAGATCCCCAGTTCCTATCTGTATCATGTTTCAATTTCTCTAAGTACTCATGCCCATCTTCTGAGTGTATCCTGTATCTGTACCTCTACTAAATCCTTCTCATGTCTCTTAAAAAAAAAAAAAGAAAGAAAAAATACATCATCGTTTTCCACCATACCTTTCCATTTCCTTTCTCTTTCCATTTTCAAGTATGTCAGATATGGTTTGCAAAAATTCTAATTAAATAGCATAATTGAATCATTTGCAGTTTGTTTATAGGTTGGAAAACAATCTTAATGTAGACTCATTGTAAACTGAGTAATTAGATCCACTGGTTCCAAATATTTATAGTTTGATAATATAAACAGCTTCACTATAAATTGAGTAGGTCATGAAAGAAAATTTTCCTGGGGCTGGTGAGATGGCTCAGTGGTCTAAAGCACCTACTTAGAACAAGCTTAGCAAAGCACAGGGACCGCGGTTCAATCCCCCAGCACCACATGCCAGCCAGCCCCGGCCCCTGGTGGGCTGAGCTGGGGAGACACACACACACACACACACACACACACACACACACAAATAAATAAATAAATTTAAAAAAAAAAAATTTTCCTGGAAGAAAAGAACATTTCAAGTGTCTGAAGTTCATACTTAATTTCTACCTTGATTTCTCCAGCAGGGTATATATTCAGTTCCATATGTCTTGTTCTCATGTTGTAACTTTTCTTATGCATTGTAAACACATGAAACATACAGTCATTTTTAATTTTTGCACTTTCACAAAGCCTGTATTTTGATCTCAACCCTGTATTAATAAATCTTAATGTCTTATTATAGGCTCAGAAGCATTTTCCTTCAGACCTTTGAAAGTACTGCTCATTCAAGTTAGTGCCTGGTACTATTTTACAGAAGTCTGGCTAACCTCTTCATAGGGAAAATTTCTGACATTTTCCCCACCAAACCCTACTTATTATTCTGTAACTCTTCTCCATGACAACCTGACACGATGCAGACTGTGTGCTTAATGGACTGTCAGTACCACAAACAAACAACTCTGCAAGTGGCTTTTCTACACCAGGCATGTTCAGTCCCTCTGCCATGCTCTACCTGCATCCCTGTCACCCTTCTGTAAGGATACACTTTGTAGTTGGGAGTTGGGAGAGAGAATTCTTTGCCTTTGCATATAACACACCATCTCACCATTTCCCTGGCACTTACCAAAAACTGTAATAAAGGTTTGCATCAGAAATAAGACCAGTAATTTTTTTACTTACAGATATGCAAAGTGAAAAATTTAAACCCTAGAAAGATTCTAAGTACTTTGATCTATTCCCACTTATCCTGTTATTTTGTAAATCTAGGCACAAAGTATTTCACAAAAACAAGTGTACATGAGTATGCATTTCTTTTATCCCTCACTGAATAGGAATAGCTGTCATTTTTTTAACTTTCAGAACCGTCTGACACTACTACTAGTCCAAAGCACAATTACTAGAATGATTTAATCTAATAATTTGACTTCTACTTCTAAATACTCTTATTCAATTTAGTAACATTTTAAAGATCTTTTTTCTTAGAAGAATAGTCATTTTTATTTGAATTATACTTTTATACTTTTATAATTTCCATAATTTGCTTGCTTATGAGTCCTGAAGAATCAGTGCTGGGCTATTCAAGTACCTAGAGTAATCATCAAAAGAAAAGCACGTTGGTGAAGTACTACAGCTAAAGAAAAACAATGGGCTCTAATAGGATGATCTTTTCCAATCTCAGCTTGTCCACAGCTAATGGGACAATTATTGGCATAATTTGCACTATCATCCTTGTTTTATGTAGAACCAAATACTTGTAAGCACATAAATTTCACTGCTTAGTAAATGCCAAACTTTTCTCTACAGGAATCACACTAATTAGCATATTGAGAGCTCTAAGACTAGATTTGCTGTCTGGTGAGGGCCAGCTTCTTGGCTCACAAACAGCACTTTTTACTAACTTCACAGCTTAGAAGAGCCCAGTGTTCTAACCTTTCATAAAGAACCAATCCCAAAGTCTTCTCTTACAACCTAATAACCTCCCACAAACTACAAATGACATCACCTTGGGAGTGATGATCTTGATATATGAATTTTGGAGGGCCATAAACTCAGATCATACTCACCACCTATAAAAAAAATACCATATTTAACAAGGTTCACATGTTACTGTATTAAGAGTACTGTATTACTGTAGAAATTTCCATGGATCTTTTTTCCACAGCATATGAACATCCTTAGAGTATACCACTCTGAAGAACAAGCTGTTGCTACACATATGGAATCATAGTTAAAACTCTAATAAAAACAAAAAAACTCTAGTGAAATGTGTTAAAATTTTTGTTCACCAATGTTTAGGGTTTTTGTTTTTTTTGAGACGGGAGATGGTCTTAAACTATGTAGGCCAGGCTGTCCTTACGTACAGTGATGCTCCTGCCTCAGCCTCCCAAGTACTAGAATTGCTAGCATGTACAACCAGTCACAAATGTTTTCAATATAAATTTTCCAGAGAGTAAAGTCATTAAAGGCAGTTAATTTTACTGTCATACTGCTTTAAATCTGCTCCAATCAGGCATACCTCTGCCACCTGATAGAAACAGTCGTCAGGTCATTTTGACATGTATTTTGCTAAACACACACACACCCCTTGCCTACCACATACTGATTAGCATCCAACTAAGCCACATACAACCTAATTGAAGATAGTAAATCTTGATATGAAATTACTATTTTACCCAGAAAGAAAAAAAACTTTGGTAGACTTCATTTGTGTAGGTGGTATAAGTCAGCTATTTTATTGTTCATTTCTTCAAATGTAGGTTCCCCACCATCTTTGTACATTCAATCCATACAAATAAGTTACTTGGAAAACACATTGGTTACTAATGTCCAATAGCATGCCAAACTACTCACACTCCCACGCTGAAGATTATTACTTAAGTTTCTTGACATTTCATTGCATCATAAATGTATGTAATTCTGGGAAAGGGGGAAAATAAGTCAGGCTTTGGAGAAAAGAACATATGCTAACCATATAAAAGTAATGAATCCTTAACACGTTCATGATGGGGCCATACACGCATGACTGTCTCTTCTGGCAGCTGTACCATTCAATGAGACAGTCTCAGCACATGTCACCAGTGTTTCAAGCCAGGAAGAACATGTTAACAATAATGCTGATTTGAAAATAAGACCTTTTTGCATGGGAAGGGGATTGGTTCTTATTTGTCCTGTTCAATGGACTAGATTACATAGATCTTTACACCAAAATAAAATCTATAGTTACTTTTTTTAAATTACCAAACTCGTACATTTTAAGTTTCAGAAAATAAGACATATAAATGTAATAAGTTCATTTTTCTTCACAATTCTCATTTTAAAGGCTGGGGATATAGTTCAGTAGAAAAGCACTTGCCTAAAAGCATGAGTTCCTGGATTTGATCCCCAACACTGCAAAGAGGAAAAATAAATTCTCAAACTAAAATCGATTAAGCATTACAGTTTTATGCCTCATCTGTTTTCCCAACCAAGCCTAATTAGGAAAGAACTGGTAATAGAATCCTTGCTCTGGGAAAATACTATACTTAATAAAAATAATACTATGCTTAATAAAAATCTTCAAGCTACCAAATTTTGTGAAAGTAGGAATATAAGACAGCAACACAAGGGCCGGGAAGATAGCTCAATAGAATAAGCACCTGCCTGGCAAGCACAGGGCCCTGAGTTCAATCCCCGGTACCGCAAAAAAAAAAAAAAAAAAAAAGACAGCAACAGAAATTGCCAAATGATGATAAAGCAAGATCCTATCAAGGTTTTCAGATCAGAAAAAATTTAACTTCACAAGAAATACAGTTTATGAACAACATATGACCTATTACATACATATATATGTATATATATCCTCTATGCCTCCAGATTTGCATAATAAAATTTTAACAAAATGACAACAGAGACTATTAACTTGTAAATATTTGTATTTCTTTCACTCACACACAATGTTGTATGAGACATTACTGGTTTTAATATGTATCCCTAGATTTAATACTCATATGGAGTATAATGTGGAAAGTGCAAAACTAAGTTTTATCTGAAAACAAAAGCACACATTTCTTAGGATTTAAAAATATTGCACATAATAAGGTTACACAAAAATTACTGGCTGGTTTTACAAACAGAATGAGGTATTAGTCAATCTCTAGATAAAGATAAATGCAGAGGAGGAATTACACATACACAAACCCACATAAATTCATATTAATACCTAAAGTACAACTAAAACAGAAATATGAAAAGATGTGTTAAGTAGCTACAACCCTATAAGATCAGTAATTAGCCAGGGACTAAACACATAACAATCTCTTGGCAATATGTTATTTTCTTTTATCAGCTTAGTTGATCAAACAGCAATATCATTGCCTGTACCCAATTCTGTGGCAAGACAGGGTTTCATGGTAAATACCAAAGCATCCCTTTTTAAAGCTTTCAGTAGCCATTTACCACTGAACGCTCTCCTTTATGGCCTCAATTACACAGTCATACATTCTTAGCAATCCAAGTCACAAATGCTACAGCATGCAATTTTAAATTGGCAAAGGTTTCACTGTAAAGATCATTCAAGTTTTCACAATAACTTTTAAAGTTTAATCTATGTATCAAGCAAACTCAACCCTTTTTTTTTTTTTTGGTGGTGGTGGTAATGAAACTGGCCACACTGATGAGCCTAAGGGCACATAGGGGAAAAAAACAGGAGAATCTTTTTTAAGGACTTGACCTAATCAAGAAAATAATTAGATTTTTGTCTATATCACTAGCTGAATGTTGCTCAATTTGTCAAAAAAATTTAAATATATAATAGTAATATCAAACTTCTGAGTAAAATCATGCACTTGTCAAAATATTTCAGAGAAAACTTTTTCATCAAAGATACTAAGTAAGAGTCAACCAGGTGGGTTTAATAAGAACTGAAAAAGGAGGAACTATTGTCCTGAACAGTCAGTGTATGTAGTGACCATATTTCCTCTTCGCTGAGTGACAGTCCTGCAGTGCTTGCTAGATCCATGAAATCTATTTTCAGTCTGTACTGTGTGCCGATTGGTGGAGTCAAAGCCACTAAAAGAAAACATTTTCTCCATATCTTCAAACATGTCATCAAACAATCCACCTCCAAAAGAAAACTCCTGGAAATGATGCCTCTGTCTACTAGAACCATCTTGCCGTGTCTGGAAGTGATTTTCAAAATGCTTCTTAGATCGAGTGTTTTGGTTTTGACCAAAAAAACTAAAGTCTTTAAATAAGTCATCAAAATTGAAATTAAAGGACTGCTCAAAAGGACTTCCACTACCTCTTTGTCCTTTACCATCAGTGAAAGCACTGTGTCCCAGTGTATCATATTCCTTTCTTCTACTAGCATCTGACAGTGTTTCATATGCTGGAAGAGATAAAAATATTTTAGTAACGACCTCCTAAAACACCTGAGTTCATTCAATTCTATATTTAGCAAAGGATTTCATGTAAGCAAAATGAAAGTAGTATAAACAAAGTTCTAAAAGAAGGCAAGGACTTCATCTTGATTCACTCCTGTATTATCAGTAGCTTGCACATTGATATCTGTAGTAAACACCCAGTAAGTGTCTATTAAGTAGATGCTACCATTACCATAAGTAAATATTCCAACTACAATTACAGAGTTCTTTAATCCTTCATAATTTTTGTGTGAAACAATTATCTGTATTAAAGAATTTAATAGTCAAAAAACTACACACTCAATTAACAGGAATTAAGATTTTTCTCTTCCTTACTAGTTGAAGTAAATGCATGATTCCAACTCCTCAGTCAATTACCATCACCCACCATTAATTATGATTGGTCATGGAGGGTAATTCATTGTATAACTACTATGGTTGTCTAAAGTAAAAATGTGTTTCATATTTTCCCTTTACCACATACTTGTGATTTGTAATATAGAACAAATAAGAAAATTTTAGAATCTATTTTAATCTACTTAGAATAGTTTCATAAATTGAGAATTTTGCATAAATTCCTTTTTACAGAGAAACACAGTTATTTCATCAATTACAGAATGAAATCATCTACCTTCAACCTTTTTAGATCTGTTCATTCATTCAGGAAACAAGTAAATATCCATAAAATGAGAGTCTTCTGACCAGTAATACTCAAGAGGGCTCAGAAAGAGTTATTTACCTTCTGCAATCTCTCGGAATTTTGCTTCAGCATCGGGGCTCTTATTTTTGTCAGGATGATACTTCATGGCTAATTTGTGAAAAGCCTTCTTGATTTGGCGCTCTGATGCTGATTTTGGCACACCTAAAATATCATAGTAGCTTTTTGAGGCCAGAATCAATTCCGTTATCATTAAAATGCAGATTGCAAAGATGAAGACTGACTGGGTAGTAGCCATTTCTAATATCCTAAGAAAAGAAAAAAAAGAAAAAGGTTAGCTATGGAATTAATGTTAAGAATTTTTTTTTTAAAGAAACCTAATAAAATTTTAGGATACAAGGTTTAAAAAAAAAAAAAAACCCAGTACTTGGGTGAGGTAAGATCATTGTGTTGAGGCCAGGTTCCACTATACAGTAAGTTCAAGGTCACATGAACTACACAGTGCAAGCCTGTTTCCAAAAAAAAAAAAAGAAAGAAAAAGACCAAAAGAACCTTCCACACTTGCAAAGTATGAAGCATGCATATATATATATATATATATATCCCCTACTATACTGTCAGTGTTACACTTAGCAATTTTTCCTTTTTTTTTTTTTTTTTCAGTACCGGGGACTGAACTCAGGTTCACTTAATTCTACTGAGCCATCTCCCCCAGCCTCAGAATATGAATTCTTGAAGGAAAGATTAAAAAAAAAAAAAAAAATACTACACTTAAAATATTATTGGATTTTCTTTTTTTTCAACTATGCTTGCTTATGATGGAGTCTCAGTATGTGTCAAAAACCAGTATCTAGCCAGGCCTGGTGGAACATTCTGGTAATATCAGCACTGGGAGGCTGAAGCAGGAGGAGGAGCATTGACTTTAAAACCAACCTGAACAACAAAGTGAGCTCAAAGTCAGCCTAAACTGCATAATGAAAACCTGCCTCAAAACGACTAAGAAAAAAAAAATCACTGAAGATGTTGTGTCTGTGTGTTTGCCCCATATATTTTGTGGAAAGGCAAAGCCAATAAAGACATTTTTCAATTTACACGAATTCTATTTGCTCTTAAGAAAGTTAATACGATTTGGGAGTTACAAAACCTGCATAAATGTAAGACTTTACATGTTTAACAAAGAAGTATGAATAAAAATGATCAGTTTAAAACTCGATAAAATTGAAACCAGGTGTGATGGCCTTTGTAATCCCAGCACTCAGGAGGTTGAGGTAAGGAGTTCAAGACCAACGGGTGAGCTACATAGCGAGTTCAAAGCCTGCCTAACCTGCATAGACCCCCCCCCAAAAAAAAAAACCAACTAAAATTTCTACTACGGTTGCCAGAAAAAAAAAAATCATACTTTACAGAAGTTAATTCTTACCTTCAAACTCCTCAGTACTGTACTTACTATGTCTTACCTATAAGTCTGTTTTAATTTAGAATTGAACTTAAACTCTTAGTACTTACTGAAATGCAATTCTAACGGAGTGATCCTGTTGTTTTCGAATACACCACCACAGGAGTCCTTACTAAGGTATGATGACACAAGATGACGAAAAGACGCCATGGTTTGTGGAAACTCTATTCCCCTTGTGGGATATGCTGAGAGCAATCAGCAGGTGGATTGCATTTTTCTTTCCCAGCGCTACTCCTAGCTACGACATCAAGGGTCAAGCACAAGCGCCTGGTCTGAGGGACACAATCGCAGCTCGCCCTAGGAAGCTGCGTCCAGGAAGCTTGCTCCCTCTCGAAGGGCGGTGTGCGAGTGACAGGCGCCTTCGGGAGGAATAAACGTCACCCCGCAGTCTCGGGGACAACGACAACTCCTTAAGAGTCAACCTTTAACGAGAATCTGGCTTCTCATCTAAGAGGGACCCGCTGGACGGCAGTCTGGGCCCCTTTCCCGGGACAGCGGCGGCCGCGCGGCTCCGCGAGACCCGCGCCCGAAGGCGCCCAGCCCAGGGCTCCAGGCTGCCACCGAGCCGCCCCGCGCCCCACCAAGGCTCAGTCCCAACCCCAACAGTACTGTCCCGCGGCTCGGCCTCCTCCCTCCGCGCCCCGCGTCGGGACACGGTGCCGGAAGCCCCTGCGGCAACCGCGGCGGACGCCAACGCCAGGTCGGTCCACAGACAAAGGCTGCGGAACAGGGGCGCCCTGAGCCCACTCCCCGCGAGCGGTCCGGGCCTCGCCAGCACCCTCCGGGCGTAGCTCCCACAGACGGGGACACCAGCCGCCCCCGGCCGCACGCCGCAACCCGGCTGCTCACCCTGGCCCCGGCTGTGTCTACGTGCCGTCCGCGCGCCCTGCTGCGGCTTCCACGGCGACCTCCACCTCTGCCGCCGCGGCCGCGTTCCTCCAACGCCTGCTCCCTACAGGCGGGCGTTTAGCTGCTGGCGCCACCGCCTCAGGAGATGACCTACACGAAACGCTTTCCCATTGGCCCGCGCCTCCCACCTGACCTTGGCGCCCTACGCGCACGTGGAAAACTGTTGTTGCCGTTCTGCCTGAGCGTCACTTCCGCCCCCCACCAAGGGGGCGGTGCTAATGCCAGCGGAGGCGGAAGTCTGTCGCTGGTTCCGGCGTCCGTCCTCAGGGCGGCATCCCGGCGCAGGCGCAGTAGCTCCAGTGGCTGCGAATTGCGGCCCCGCCTCAGCGAGGAGGGGTAGCTTGTGCCTGGGTGTCCCGGGTCCTTACCCAAGTGATGCCCCGCTATTGCGCAGCGACTTGCTGTAAAAACCGCCGGGGGCGAAATAATAAAGACCGGAAACTGAGTTTTTACCCGTAAGTTGTTCCCTGGGCAGAGGCGTCAGTTTCGACCGTAGGCCACCGTCGGGGTGTCTGCTGTCGGGTTTGGAAATCTGTGTTGTGCCCTTCCTGTCTGGTCACCGCGCAGGGAGGACGCCAGGGCTTGGGTTCACTGTGGGTCTGTAGAGGCTGGGCTGCTGACGAAGCATGGGGCTGTTTGCTTTTAACAGAGGTAATAGTTGGTGCGGTGCCCGGTGATTTCCAGAGCCCTTCCCTCTTCTCACTTGACCTCATTTCATTGAATGACTTGATCCAGCGTTTAGGTTGAAATATCCAGCAAACGTGCCAGTTAGGAAGGTGCGCTCAGAGTTACAAGTCTTGTCGATAGAGAACTTTAATCGCGTTTTTCTCCTGAAAGATCGGGTAACCTACCGACCTTGAAAGTGTGCCAAGGAGCCAAGCGAGGTGTCAAACGCCTTTAAACCCAGCACGGGAGTGGCTGAGGTAGGAGGATTGCTGCGAATTCGAGGCCATCCTCGGCTACCTAGTGAGTTGAAAGCCGGTCCGAACTGCATAGCGAGACCCTGTCTCAAAAAGACAAAAGAAAAAAAGGAGTTTTGTGCTGTACATACCTTTCATTAGTACAAAGAATAAGGCATATGTTATACTCAGAATGGCTAGGATCACACAGTACTTCCGTGAAATTACAGAACTACTGATGGTTCTGCAGAAGAACACGGAAGTGGTGTTGTATAATAAAGAGCCTGCGCTTCAAAACTGCACCTACTAACTTCAAATCCTTGTCCCATTACTTTGCATCTGAATGACCTGCAAAATATTTAGCTCTCCATGCCTCATATCCTTCATATGTTAAGTGGAGATATTAGTAGAACTTACTTCAAGCTTACAGTTTGAAGAGTAAAACAGTACTGGCTGGAGGTACATGCTTAATATCTATATGAAAAATCCCGTGAAAATCAACAAATTTAAAATACGACGTTTCATTTTTCCTTGCTTTTAAAAATAATTTCATCTAGAGCTAAACTGGTTGTCTTTAATTTTGTTTAAATGTGTACGAAGTATGTTGTGAATCCAGTTTTACTTTAGATATGAAGCTGTTACTTGCTAGTGGTTCAGCTGTTTTCCATTATCCTACATAATGAGGGGAAAACATTATAACCCTACCCTAAATAATCCACGCTACAGGGTGGTATATCAAAGATTGTCTCCTTCAATCCCTTTCACAAGATACTGAGAGAGATTTGGGGAAGAAATAGGTGATAAGTACATGCTATTACATTAATGGCAGCTCTGAGGTGGTTTGTAGCAAAAGATCATGTTGAATTAATTCCTACATATATTTTTCCTTAAGCACCTGCTTAGGCAAGCACAGGGACCAGGGTTCAATCCCTGGCACCACACGCTGTGACAACTCTGCCCTGGCCACACTGAGCCAGCCACTGAGACCTGGCATGGTGGCGCATGCCTGTAATCCCAGCACTGGGGAGGCTGAAAACAATCACTCAAGTCCAAGCTGTGTAGTGAGACCTTGTACCTTAGATTACCAGATTATAATCCCAGAGTGCAAAAAAGGAAATTGAGACCGAGTCTTGCTATGTAGTTCAGGCTGGCCTCATTCCTGGTATCTTCCTGCCTCAGCCTACTGAGTCTTGGGGTTACAGGTATGTACCACCATGCCTGGCTAGAAGTCTTTCTGATTTCTGATTAACCTTTGTGGACCTCAGAGTTACCATATTTAAGAAGGAAAACATAGTAATGTAAATTAATTATAAATGTTTTTCCTCACATATAAAAGTATGTGAGTATTTTTTATTTCTATGTATTTTTTAAAATTACCTATATAATTCACATAAAAAAATGAAGTTTTTTTCATTCTAATAGCACCAAACTTTAGGAACTGAATTTGCTCACGCTAAAATTGTGGCATGCAATAATATATAAGTGTATATGAATTTAGTAAATACATGAATATAGTACCCTTTTTTACTGTAATTATCTTATATATGTTGGAAAAATTGAATAATTACCAGTTAACAAATTAACCAGTTAAGAAACAGTAGCACTAGAAAGGTATTAATTTAAGAAATAACATCCCAAGCAGTTTCTTAAAACATTTATTCGTTGAGGAAATAGTGTAATGTATGTACCTAAAAGGATATTCACAAAGTATAATTTTTATGACATGATAACAGGATATAGGTAAAATGCATTTTACAAATAGCATTCTTATGCTTGAATTTATATTTAAAAAGCATTATTCTAAAAGGTCTCATTTTAGATCTGCCAAATACTTGAATTTAATTCTTTTAGATTTTAAATGCTCTTACTTGTTTTTTTTGTTTTTTTTTCTTTTCAAAGTTTTATTGATAAACATATAGCAATGAGACAGTTTCAAATCAAATCGAAAGTACAGTTTCAACAAATAATACACTGCATACATTCTTCTTAGTGGTTAATTGCTGTACAAGATGCAGACTTGTGATCCTACTTACAAACACCATTAGAAAAAATCATTCTATTCATTAAGAGAATGCAACTATATATCTATCCCAACCACTTTGAATACACAGATACAAAATGGACATTCATAGTTATACCACAATTTTTTTTTAAGTTCTGTTGTTGAATATTATAGGTGTGTAAACTCAGCAAAATATTCTAAAAGAGTACAGAAGCCCATAATAGCATTGGGTCTTCTGTAAATGCTCTTACTTGTTATGCCTGTCATACTTAACCCCAGTTATTTATTTACTAGGACAAAATATTTCCGAAACGTAAATATTGTTTCTATGGTGAGAACTTCCAAAGGTGGATCATCTGATGTTTTTACGTAAGGGTATCAGTGTTAAAAGTTATTTCCTATAAAATACCCAGACTCTTTTTCCCTACAATCTTATAAACTTAATAACATTTAGAGGAAAAAATATATACTACTTAAGACAAGCATAAACTGAAAGTTTAAAATGGAGGTGATTATACAACAGCTACAATTTATATTAGACATTTGATAGGAAATTATAGTATTTTACAACAGAAAAAGAATACAAGCCACATAAGTAATTTAGAATTTTCTACTAACCACAAAAGAAAAGAAAAAAGTGAACTTAATTTTAGTGTTTTCTTTTAATTTAACCCCAAACTCCCTCACAAATGGGAAATTATTATGTAATATATGTGTTCAACTGTGTTCTTTGGAAAATCATCAGATGAAATATAAATCACTGTCAACTCGTGTTTAGAATATTTTGTTTTATTTATTTTATATTTTTTATGAGGTAAGGTCTCGCTGTATGGTCCAGACTGGCCTTGAACTCACTATGTAGGCCAGGCTGGCTTTGAACTCATGGCAATTCTCCTGCCTCAACCTTCCAAGTGCTGGGATTACAGGCATGTAGTATACTTTAAATCAAATTTATTTTAACAGTATGAAATTTTTTCTACCAAAGTATACCGTTATGCCAATTTTACCTAATTATACAGTACCACATTTGACTATGCTAGAGGCACCTTTAAATACAAGTTATTGTCAGCATAGGAATAAAATGTGATGAGAGCTGTATTGCCTTTGTCTGTTTTTTATGTTTGATTTGTTTCTTACAAAACATGAGTCTATTTTTAACATGTTTATTTCTTTTCCTTCAGAACTCCTTTTGCAAAACTCCAGAGTTCCTAACCTGTTGCTTACAGAAGTCAAAAATGCTACACTAAGTTATATGTAGATAGACTTGAAGCTGATGCTTATAAAGAGAATGGAATCTTAGTAGGGTTTTTTTGGTCAGTATTCATTTTATTCAATTAAACTGTTTAAATTAATATTTTCCTGTAATAAAAATCTTAGTATAAGTAGCCAAAAGCTTAATGCTGCCTAAAATTATAAACAATAAATCATTTGACTTGTGGAAACAGTATGAAATGCATTTGAATGATAATCTAATTTATACAAACATTTCTATTTATGCTTCCTACTTCCTGTTTGTTGTACAGCAAAATAAAAGTGGAACATGATCCATAAAAAATGGATTTTATCCTTCTCAGGAATATATATTTTACTTCCAAGATGTTGAGCTATGGATTTTACAAGCTTAATCTCAGGCAAAATCATTAGCTAAGGATCATATCTTAATCTTCAGAGGTAATGGGATACTTAAGATGCTCTTATTTGATAAGTATAGCTGCTTTGCCTTTGCAGCACGTGACCAATAAGAACACATAGACATACAGGCCTGGCATCTGGCAAAATTATAAAACAAATAGTAAACTTCCTCTTTTTTTTCTTTCTCTTATTTTCAGGTTTCCTCTACATGACAAAGAAAGACTTGAAAAGTGGTTAAAGAATATGAAACGGGATTCTTGGGTTCCCAGTAAATACCAGTTCCTGTGTAGTGACCATTTTACTCCTGATTCTCTTGACATCAGATGGGGTATTCGTTATTTAAAACAAACTGCAATTCCAACAATCTTTCCTTTGCCTGAAGACTGTCAGGTATTGGAGTTGGGTTCGGGGCTTATGTTGAACAGCATGGCACCTTTCAAGGGCAGATTACAAGGCAGGCAATGAGGTAGAAAGAAAAGGCAAGATAACTTGGAAAAGCATATTGAGAATAAGGAACACTAATTTTTTTTTTTTTTTTTTTTTTTTTAATGTATTTGGTACAAGGTCTGTAGGGTCTACAGGGTCTCACTAGGTAGATTGGACTCGTAGTGATTCTACTGTTTTCAACCTGCCAAGCACTGGGATTACAGACGGGTGCCACCACGCCCAATCTCAATCCCTGTCTCAGTGCACCCTAGGGGCGAGGCTGGCACAGCACACCAGGCCACTGTGCTCTGCCTAAGCACGCACTTTAGTCTGCTGAGCTATCTGGTCAGCCCAGGAACACTATTTTTTTATTTTAAGTATGTTAATTTCTATAAAATTTGAACTGTTGTGAAACATGGTTTAAGAAAATCAGAAGATAGCACATTATGCATTATTAGTTTATTGACAAAGTTAAGCTTTTTTTAACTTGTCATTTGAATGATCCAAAATGTTTTTGTCATATTGATGGGCTGCATGTTTTTTTAAAACATTAAGATATATTTGTTATGTAGTTAGAACATTTTTTTTAACTGAATAAATTTACTTGACCAATATACTGCTCAAAATTATACTTCAACAGTCAGTACTAATAAGAGAGTAAGCTGATAAGGGTGTCTTTTTTAGAATATGAAAATATTATTTTCCAGGGAAAGGACCCTTCCAAAAAAAAATCTCAGAAGAAAAAGTTGGAAGATGAAAATGAGGTATGTCTAAAAACCAAGTCAGAAAAATCATTTACATTAAATGAGACAAAGAAAAATATAATTAACACAGATGTGCTCCCTGAACGTGCAGACTTAGTTGATTCATATGCTGTGGTGAATCCAGCAGCTCCTAATGCAGGAGGTATACAAAATAACATATTAACTCTTAATCTAATTGCACAAGATAACAGAAAAGCACAATCTACTTTGAAAACATCAGTCAACCAAGATTCACATAGAAGTGGTTTTCATACGTCTTTTGAGAATCAAAATTCTACAACTATTACTATGACAACTTCAAATTCAGAAGATATTCAACAGTTTTTGGAAACACAAAAAATTCTTGAAATAACTACCAATCATCTTAATCCTAATCTTACAAATAATTCCATGGAAATTAGTTCACAGGAAAATCCATTCTTATTCAGCACAATCAGCTCAGCAGTTGAAGACTTAAACAAAGAGTCTCTTATTGCCATTTTTGTGCCCACAGAAAATTTGAAACCTGTTGATAATTCTTTTATACCAACCCAAAAAGAAACCATGGAAATGGAAGACATAAGTATTGACGACTCCTTATATAAGGATGTAGATCATGGGGCAGAAGTTTTACAAATTGATCATTCTTACTGCAGACAAGACATAAATAAGGAACATTTATGGCAAAAAGTCTCTAAGCTACATTCAAAGATAACTCTCCTTGAGCTACAGGAACAAAAAACTCTAGGTAGGTTGAAGTCTTTAGAAGCACTTATAAACCAGCTAAAACAGGAAAACTGGCTTTCTGAAGAGAATGTCAAAATTATAGAAAACCATTTCACAACATACGAAGTCACTATGATATAAAGAGGTTTGTAATTTAAAGAATTATGTGTAATGGGAACCTTTTTTCTATATAAAATTCTCATTTTGGGGCCAGGGAGATGGCTCAGCAGAATAAGCACTTCCCTGGCAAGTGCAAGGGCCTGAGTTCAATCCCTGGTTCCGAAAAAATAAAATAAAATAAAATAAAATTCTCATTTTAATGAAGCTATGAAAGTACTCTTAATACCATGAAATAATCCTACTCTGAAAATGTATATTCATAACACAGTTTTAAGAGTTATTAGAAATAGTTTTATTGATAATTTTTTCACATTAAAGTCCAAATAGTAATGATTAAATAATAGAATTTGATCATAAAATAAAAAGATACGGTTAAAAAAAAAAAAAAAGATACGGTTAAAACACCCAGAATATTACCAGTTTTGAGTCTACTGCTGGTATATGAGTTAAGCTATTTACTTTGTCGGTTTTTTTGTTTGTTTATTTCCTTTTTTGGCAGAACTGGGGATTGAACTCAGGCCCTTGCGCTTGCCAGAGAAGCACTTACTCCACTGAGTCATCTCCCTGGCCCGCTATTTACTTTGTTTTTTTGTTTTCGGAACTGGGGATTGAACTCAAGCTATTTACTTTGGATCTCAATCTCTAATCTAAAAAATAAGGACGTGTGTGTGTGTGTGTGTGTGTGTGTGTTTCGATGTAGGTTCTTACTGTGTACTCCAAGCTGACCTTGAATTTACTGTGTAGTCCCAACCGGCCTCTTAACCCACAGCAATCCTGATTAGCCTCCCACATGCTAGAATTACAGGCATGTACAGCCACACCCAGCAAATACCTGCTTTTTGTGTCTTGAAATTTCTGTTTTGTTTGATTTGATTTGAAGGCAGTGTCTTCCTGTGTAGTTCAGGCTGGGGTTGAATCCAGGCTGTCTTCAAACTCCTGATAATGCTCTTGCCTCAGTCTCCCAAGTGCTGGGATTATAGGCATGTACCATCACACCCAGCTTTATTGCCTTTCTATTACCTTCATTAGGACAATTTTCCTTTTTCATTTTTTAACTCTTTTATTAGTACATACTTGTCATAGATACTAATCACATTCAGCATAGAACAGATTTTCTATAAGAAAATAGTAAAAGTTGGATAGGATTTGTATTAGGTTAGTCTCAGTATATATTTCATTCTGTATTTCTTGGACTTTTGGCACGTAATTATGTATCCATAATATATAACAAAATACTGATTTTATTTCACTTGAGTGCAGCACTTGAGAGGTACTTTAAACTTGAATATATATTTAATACCTTATAGATAGCTGAGAATTATAATACATAACTAAGTTTAACATCTTTATGAAGTTATAAACCAAAAATTTTAATGAAATTAAAATTTTTTAAGTACATATAAATTTTAAGTACATATAATTTTAAGTACATATAAATATATTTTAGAAATCATAGTTTATTTCTTCATAGATGTAGCTTTTAAAATGTATGCCTGTCATTTTATAAATCCAAAATAATATTACAAATTGTCACTTATGTATATTTTACTAAAATTTATGAGCAAGAAATTACACAGATAAGTGGTGATGACTTTAGCCAGTTATTCTCTTAGAAAAGAGAAGGTATATAAATAAAAATACTGTTTATATCTGCATGAATTTAAGAACAATACACATAAAATAGACTGTGATAACACAAATGTGAAAAATAGGTGTTGTATGTTCCTCCCCAAGTTGGCAGTCGGTAAAATATATTATTGCCTATCTGTCTGATTCTTAACTTTCTCGTGTGTTAAGTGAAAAGTGCTATTATGTATCTTAAAGCACAGTAGTGCAAACTATAGGGAAATGAGTTTTGTGAACCTGGAAAATAGGAGGTGCTCAATAAGCGTTAGTTAATTCTGAATATGTATAAGTTATTTTGTAAATGCAGAGCAGTTGTTTTTTACATATTTGATTCTCCCAGTGAATAAAATTAATATTATTTGACAGTGTCAGATAATTATAAAAAAGCAATAGTTTTATAAGTTACCATGGGGGGAGGTGGCCGAAGTATTCTCACGTTGCATTTTGCTGTTACTTAAATAGTACAAATGAAAAGATGTTAACCTTAAGTCTCAATAACATAAATGTTTCAACCCAATTTTTAGCACTGTATATCGTTTGTATTTGTTTAAATTTAGGTTTTCCTGGAGTACTTTATGTACTTGGATGTATTTTATTATACTCGATGAATCTAAGCAAAAAGTATTTTCTTTGATTTTATATGATCAGTTGAGGATGTTCTCAGCCTAACCCAGTTAACCTGTAAGTTACATATGCCGATCCTGGCCTGCTTTGTTTCTGACTTGGACATCTAAAAGAATCTGTTAGATAATCTTATCTGTTTTCAGACTTTCTCCTCTGTATCATCCTAGATTCTGTCATCTTTACCTAAACTACATATCTAACGATTATGACCTACCATTAACTTTTGTAGCTCAGATGTCTCGAAATATTCTCTAGCACCTTTAAAATAAAGCCAAATTGTTACCATTGTCTCGGTCATCTTTTTGTATTTAGCCTGTATTTTATCCACACTGGATTTCTTAGCATTTTCCAAAGACCTAGACATGTCAGTCCCTCTCTTTATAGCTTGTTTTATTCCCTGAACTGAACCAGTCTGTCAAAAATTATACTTCAATATTAGTAAAATTTTATACCTATATTCCAGTCAAAATTGTTCCACTGTGGCCCATAGTACTTTTATAGCACTGTAATGTCATCTGTTATATTTTATATGGCATAATGATATGCAGTTAATGATATGCTATATGCTGTTCTGTAGTGTGACCTTGTGCCTTTATTAAGAGGTGGAGTTGTTTCTCTCCCTGCATGGCTTCTTGAGTGATTTGACCAGGAGAATATAAAGTGACTGCCAATTCTAAACTTGGCCCTTAAAGTAACCTGGCATTTTCCATTTCCTCTTTAGAATACTTCCTTTCTTAGGTTCTGTGGTTACCTGGAAAATTCTGATACTGGGCTCTAAAGAAAGACATCAGACTTGAGTAAAGTTGCTATGTTGGAAACAAATCCTCAAGAGTCAGCTGCTTGCTCAAATAATTAACTACAGTGTTGTCATAATACCTAGCTATTCCAACCCTGGGTAATATACCTTAGAGAAATGCCAACCTATGTCTTCACAAGAGCTTGTACACAAATTTTACAGCAGAATTATTTGTAAAATCCAAAAGATGAAATAACCTGAGTGCCCATCAACTGATGAATCACTAAACAAGGCGGCATATCCCTGCAATGGAGTATTTAGTTTGCCCTTTAAAAAAGGATGTTCTCCTACTTCAACAAGGATGAACTTAGAAAACATGAGAGAACCCAGTTGTAAAATGCCATGCACTTTATATGAAATGCTCGGAATAGGCAAATTTATGGAAACAAAGATCAGTGGTTCCCAGGTCTGGGGCGAGAGGAAGATGAGTGAATATGGTGCTGCTTGGAGGGTGATGAAAATGTTCTGGAAATAAGAGTGGTGATGGATGCACAAATTGGTGACTATATTTTAAAACTGCTGAGTTGTATGCTTTAAAATAATTTTATACAATGTGTGCGTATAGTACAGGGTCTCACTGCACAGATCAGACTCTAGTGATCCTGTTTTCAGCCTCCCAAGTGCTGGGATTACGGGTGCATACCACCACGCCCAGTCTCAGTTGCCCTCTCAGCACGATGGGGGGAGCGGGGAGGCCGGCACAGCATGTCAGATGGAACCCAGGTCTCTGCATCTGCCTAAGGAGGCGCTTTAATCTGCTGAGCTATCTGGCTGGCCTAATAAACTATATTTTAAAAGGCTCAGCTGCTTTAGATAATACCAGATGTAGAAGAAACACATCACTTATCTGAGCTCTTTTTAGATTCCTTAACTTTTGGCCAAAATAAAATACTTGTTTTAAGCTAAAGTTTTGCAGCAGATGACCAAAACCACCCCTTCTCTGCTAGCTTCTTCCTTGCTCTGATGTAGTCCATTCTCCTGTAAAACCTTGTCTCAGTTACTCTTCTCTTGTTCCTGGGACAAATATCCAACACCCAGAAATAAGGAAGAAAGGTTTATTTAGCTCACAGTTTGTGAAGGTTTTGAGTCCATACAAAGCTGGCTCCAAGGCAGACTGGCACATGGCAGAGGGCAGCAGTTCATGACAGCGGAATACAGCAAAACATCAAGAGCAAATGGGAGGAGAAATGACAAGAGCAAGTCTGTCTCCCTTATGCTGCGTTCAGGCTAGCCACCCCAGGCTGGGTGTAGCACTCACACCCATAATCTCAAAAGCACACAGCCATAATCCCAGTAGATCATGAGTTAATCACAAACTGTAAATCTGCCCATGACTGCATGAGACTTTGAGGGGACACCTAGACACAAACTGTAACAAACCTTCAATAATATTGCCCTTCCCTCTGTTTTACTAGCCTGAAGCCCATTTCTGGTTGAAAAATATGCTTTCCCTCTTCTGTTTCAAAATTAGTAGCTGGAGAAGCATAAAAATTGACTGGCCTCCAGTGGGATCCAGCAGGGTCATTTCCTTTCTCAAGTTCATAGCCCTGCTTTCAACTTCTTCACACTCCTGCCTTCCTCTTCCCCTCACTCCTGCAATTCCAAACAGAATTTCATCACATGCTTCATGGAGAATATTAAAACAAACACTGCTAACTAGATTCCCTTAAGGATTTTTTTTTTTTTTTTACCAGAAATTGAACTTGGGGCCTTGAAATTGCCAGGCTGGTGCTTGTGCCACTGAGCTGTATCCCTAGCCAATTAGGAAGAAATTAGGGTAAAGTTATATGTGAGGAGCCCTGATAAAATGATGGATTAGCTGCTTAAAGGCAAAGATACCATGGAGCTGCTCTCTGCCCTGTGTGAGAACACAGGAAGGCAGCCAACCACAACTGGGAAGAGTTTGCACGTGAGAATCTGGCTGCAGCACTGTGATCTTGGACTTCCAGCTTCTAGACTGGGGAGAAAAGAAGTCTCTGCTTTGTAAACCATCCAATCTGTGGTATTTTGTTGTACAGCCTAAGCAAAGCCACTTATGTAACCTAAAACAATGAAATTGAATAAAGTAAATCTACGTGCATCAAAATATTTTGTCATTCATAGTGTACTTCAGAGAAACCTTAAGAAAAAAGAGCAATCCATCATTAATCTGTTACCAAAACTTGAGTGGTTCTGTCCCAAATTTCCAAAGTTTAGGTTTTGAATAGCATCTCTATAGCATGAAACAAATTGTGTCTGTTGTCTAATATGATACACCTTTGCTCTCTTACATCATTAGAGAATTTATTCACTTCATGCCCCTCTCCACAAACCCTGCATCTTCTAC